TGACATTGTAACTAATAAAGTAGATTTGGTCTTGGATTTACACTCTCCCCTCCTTCCTGACACAGATCTAATCCCTTGGACTTTTCTGGGTGATAGGAATGTCTATGTTCCAGCAAAGTAACCCTGGCTCCTGACTAGAGACAGGTCACCAGAAAGAGAAAGCCACGGTTAGAGACTGGAGATTTCCTCTGTCAGTTGGAAGGCAGCCACTATAAAAATCCCTGAATGCCAACTTCTGCCTGCCAAACCATGCAGGGCCTTAGTGGGCTCTCAAGGAGCCCTCATCTTTCATAATCTTACCTGTGTTCCACTTCATAATCTACCTGTTCATCTATATCCTTCACAGAATTCTTTCTAATGAACCAGCAGACATGTTTCCTTGAATTTAATACGCCACCAGGCAGATGCATAGGACCAAGGGGAGAGGGTTGTTCAGAGAACCTTGATTTAGAGTCATATAGTTAGAGTGCATTGGGTTAGAATAGGATAGCCATGTGATTGGCGTCTGAACTATGGAGGCACTCTTTAGACTGTGAGCCCTTACCCTATGGGATCTGACTGCAGCGGCAGGTTGTTACTATTGGACCTGAATTAGTACACACCCAAGTTAGTGTCTGCGGGAGATTACTCAATGTAGAGTGGAAAGCCTCCACAGATCTAGTGTCAGAAGTGAAGGCATGGGTTTCATGTACACAGAGCAAAGCTAGTCTCTTTTCCCATTTGAAAGACGTATGCAGAAATTATACTTGTACTAGTTAGGCCTCTCTGTTTGCAATAGAAACCCAACTTGAACCTGTTTAAGGAGAAAACAACAGTGGATCAGAGGATGCTGGAGAACGAGTGTGACTCACAGATTGGCTGGAAGAGCTGCTCAGCCAAATAAAAAACCTTTATTTTAAAAGGTTAAATGACCACTTTTGACTTACCTTGTTATGACCACCTTATTACGCCCACCTTGCAACCATGTCTTTGTTTCAGAAGAGACTAACTTGCTGGGCTTATGTTCTGCTCATGTAACCCCACTGATTTTGCCTGACAAATCCCCCACTTGGAAATCCCTTACCCCTGGTGCCCTCTTCCTTCTGGCCTGCAGGCACACACACAGACAGAATATTGTATACATAATAAATAAATAAATATTTTTTTTAAAAAAAACTTTTTTTGTTTTATTTATTTATTTATTTATTTATTATGTATGCAACATTCTGCCTCCGTGTATGCCCGCATGCCAGAGGAGGGTGCCAGATCTCATTACAGATGTTTGTGAGCCACCATGTGGTTGCTAGGAACTGAACTCAGGACCTCTGGAAGAGCATCCAGTGCTCTTAACCACTGAGCCATCTCTCCAGCCCCATAAACAACTTTTTGAGACAAAGTCATGATTGTCATTCCTGGAACAGGCAGTATGGAACCATTTGTAGTTAAGGTTATAGGTAGGGCATAGCCCAATCCTTGAGAAACAGAGATTTAATCATAAGCAGGAATGAACCTAGTATGGCTTTACTATACTACTTTTATACATATAATAGTATATACTTTACTATACTATGTCTTTTAAGTCTAAGATGGAGGCAGGCTGATTCTTCAGGCCCCAGCACTTTCTATGCAATGTTCTGGGTGATAGTTTAATTTTCTCAGGTTTTTCCACACAGTGAAGAACATGACTGTAGGCTTCCCTGGGTGCCATTTTACAGTGGTGTGACCACACTCCCGAGAAAAATCCCAGGAAAGGATGGTTCCTGGCTCTGTTCAGACTTGCTCAGACAGGTCACATGATACTCTGAACCAATCTGTGGCCAGAGGGATGGAGTAAATTTAGTCGTCTGGACCATCTGATTATCTCTGTGGTCAGGGAGAGGATGAGTTGTGTGTGTTATTGTTCTCAAACAGCTCAGCCCCAGAGTTTCAGAGCTGGCGTAAGGTGCCCTGTGATGGGCGTACACAGAGACCGAGCCAAGGTTGCACAGAGTTCAACTTACTGGAGATTTACCGACAGAAGCATGACTTGCAGGTAGATTTCTACAATTTGGGTCAAACGACCTTTACAACTTGGGGCTTTCTACAGCAGTCAGGACAAAAGTGACTTCATTCAAGTTGGAATGTACCTGGTTTATCTCAGGCTAATATCAAAGAGTCAGGCATATTCCTGGCACCAGGTTCCAGTCCTCCAGGCCTATGTACCACTCTCATGGATTTGGCTATTTATGGTATGCTGAGAAACTATTTGTGGGAAACCAACCAGGATTACTCAAGGGTGACCATGACAGCTATAACTCAACATGATTGTTGTCAGATTACACTGAATCCATAGTTACCAAGCAGGAGAGGCATGCTCGATACAATAAGTATAATCCCAGGAGTCAGACAAATGCATTTAGAAGTGAAAAAACTATTTCCGTGTTCCATGTGTGTGTTTCTGCTTGTGTATGTGTGTGGTCTATGTACATGTGTGTGCAGGTCTGTGCATGTGCTTTCAAGTGACTGTGGAGGCCAAAGGTGAACATAAAAAGACCTTCTTTGGGCAAGCTAAACAGATGGCTCAGCGGTTAAGAATCCTGGCTGCCCTTCCAGAGGTCCTGAGTTCAATTCCCAGCAATCACATGGTGGCTCACAACCAAGATCTGGTGCCCTCTTCAGATGTGCATGCATACATGCAGGCACAATATTATATATATAGATTAAATAGAATCTTAAAAAGTACCTTCTTTGATCCTTCTTCATATTATTATTATTATTATTATTGAGGCAGGATCTCTCACTGAACCTGGCACTCATCAGTTTGGGGAGGTTGGCTGGCCAATGAACTCCAGGGATCCCCTTGTCTCTGCTCCCCAATGACTGGGGTTACAGAGCACACCAGCAGACTTAGCTCTTCTGTGGGCACTGGGGAGCTGAACTCAAATCTTCACACTTCTACAGCACGTAGTTTTCCGACTGAGCCATCTTTCTACTCCCTGGAGGTGTTTTTATTGTTGGTCAGAGCTTAGAGGCATAAACACCTGTGTCAGGTTTGTTCTTTCCAGTTCTGTGAACTTTGAGGCATCCCCTCCCACATACCTTTTTAAACATACTATCTTTTTAATTTAAAATGTATTCGTTTATATTTTTATTCGTTTTTATTTATGTCTTCTTGTTTGTGCGCCCCCTATGTGCAGTGCCTGGGGAGTGCAGAAAAAAAGCATCCAGTAACTGGAATTGCAGATCATTGAGAGCCTCCAAGAGGCTATGAGGATGGAACTTGGGTTCTCCAGAAGCTTTTAATGGCTGAGCCATCTCTCTAGCCCGAAATTTTATTTTTTACATATACATTTATTTGGCTTACATGTATGTTGATGTACCATGTACATGCACTGTCCTTGGAAGCCAGAAGAGGGCATTAGAGACCCTGGAACTGGAGTGATGGTTGTAAACTGCCATGTAGGTGATGGGAATCAAACTGATCCTCTAAACAGGAGCAGCCAGTGCCCTTAACTGTCAAGTCCCCGAGGGCTTTACCTCATGTAACTCATTTTATCAAAGACAAAACTGGACAGTTAAGAAGATGGATTTTATTCAGGTAATTGCAGTAGGGAGAGCAGGGGCTCCACCTAACTCTTGCTTGGGGAGATGAGATGGTTTATAGTTAGGGTGTTTTATGGTTAGGGTGTTTTATGGTTAGATTTATGGATGATTCATAGTTAGATTTACCGTTAGACCTCAGCAGAAGACCCAGAGATGTTTATTTCTGACTGGCTTCAGGGAGTGAGTAGTTTCTACCTTCAGATAATCAGCTAGGAGACAAAGGGAAGCTGAAAGGTCAGGGAGGGCCGTGTCATGGGTGGATGGGATCAGCCAACTGCAAGTTGTTTGGATTTGAGTTGTATGGGATTCATGAGGAAGAGGGGACAGTTTTATCTGAGTCTTCCCCGAACACAAGAAGGGGAATTTTGGAAAAGAAGAAGGTAGAGAATGTGTTAACTGTGGCTGTTTTGCAGATGCAACGAATTTAATAAAGCACAACACTGTGTGCCTATAACACGCTGGGCCCATTATCCATCCCATAGACACCAGAGTCAATCAAAGAACCTATATGACTTGCTTATATGATGCTGGGAACAAATACGGTTACATATTTAACAAATAAAAATACAAAATATAGCACCATATATGTACAATATAATATGGCAGTATTGCAGATACATTCCTGCTAAAGTTATCTGAAATTTAGAGATAATTGGCTATCCTATATTTTACTTGGTATCCCCTAGTACATAGATACACTGAGATAAATGTTAACTGAGAATACATCAAGGGAAAGTTATTTTCAAGTCCTGTTACCTAGACAGGACATAGTACTCTTTTCCTGATAAATGTAGCCTTGCTTGAAAGTCATTCTAACTTATAAAAGCATCGACAGGGCAGAGAGCTCAGGAGATGGGGCCCTCAGACCACCCTAGGGCTTCTTTAAAGGGGAGGTCACCTCCTTTCTCCAACCTTTGGGAGTCTCCCACTTTTTTGAGGGTCTGGGAAGTGGAAATACATACAGAGACTGGGCACTCCTAGAGAAGGGGATTTTTTTTTTTTTACTTGCCTACAGCACTAAGTTTGGACCACAGTAAGAAGAGTAGATCTGAATACACTAATGAGGGTGGACTGAGCAGAACCTTGAGTACTGTTTAATGCACGGGCGTGCTTCCCAGAGAGTTCCTGGGGGTCGAACTTCTGTTGTCCGGCTTGGAGGAAAGCGTCTGTAGACTCTAAACCATCTCGCCAGTTTCCGTCTTTTGCTTGTTTGTTTACAAACCTAAATTCAAACAAAAAGATAAAAGCGATACTAATAGTCTTTGGGAGATTCTGTCGTAGGTGGAAGTGTGGTGCTCCGATCTTAATTAAAAATCCAGACTCAGCTAGAGAACCCCGCACGCCACGCGACTTAAAGCTCTCTCACTTCCGCTGCATACGGTTTACGCTGCCGCCCGCACTCCCAGGATGCCCCGCGCCGGCTACGCCCTGCGTGATTGGCCGCTTCCCCTCACGTGACCCCGCGGTGGCCGTTGCCGGGGTGACGGCGGGAGAGCTGGCAATCCGGAGGAGAGAGAGCGCAACACTGTAACTGGTAAGTGCGGCCCTCGAAGCGACTGGGCCCCGTGGCACAGGCCTGGGAACCCCGCGTGGGTGGCTAGCCATGTCCGTCCTGGCTCCTACATGGCCGGGGCCTGAGGCAGCCGCCTGCGCATCCCAAGCGTTCATTGCTTTCCCCAGGAACCCCTCGCTCTGCTGCGGTGGTGTGAACTTGGAGTGGCCCCAGGTCCAGGTCGTCTAGCTGAGCATTGGCAGTGCGATCCCATGACTTGGGGGCGTTTAGTTCTCTCTCTCCCCCATGGTTTTCATTAGTAGATTTCCCTCCCAGTTCATTCTCTGACTTTACTGAATCTAAGTGGAAGCATGGTACTTGCAATACAAATTCATCTTCGTATTCAGCCAGATGTAGGCCTAAATCTCTCACAGATGGAAATGCAAAAGTCGTCACCGCATACCAAAACACGATGGACAGGTCCCTTCTTCCTCCACAAAGTAGATCCTTCGCCCAGAAGTAGTCTGGACTAAACTAACTGAGCTAAGGAGACAGGACATCCATCCAACAAAGAGGATTCTCAAACGGGTGACCCTGAACTCACAAGAGGTATGCCCTTGCTGACCAAGCCTGATGACCAGGGTTGGAACCCTAGGACCCACATGTTGGAAGGAGCGAACCAACTTCTGCATATTCTCCTGCAATATCAGCCTAGATTTAATTCTAGCTTTGCAGCCTTTCAGAGGTGAATGTGAATTTGCTCGTGGGGCACTGTACTAGCCAGAATTTCTATTGCTGTGATGAAACAGCATGACCAAAAGCAACACGGGGAGGAAAGAGTTTGTTTTGCTTACAGTTCCTCATCACTGTTCATCAGCGGAAGTCAGGGTAGGAACTCAAGCAAGGCATGAACCTGGAGGCAGGAGCCAATGTTGAGGCCGTGGAGGGGTGCTGCTTGTTGTCTTGCTCCCTATGACTTGCTCAGTCTGCTTTTTAACTTAACTAATTTTATTTATTTGGTTTTTCAAGACAAGGTTTTTTTCTGTATAGCTCTGGCTGTCCTGGAACTCACTCTGTAGATCAGGCTGGCCTCAAATTCAGAGATTCACCTCCCTAGCTAGTGCCTCCCTAGCACTGAGATTAAAGGTGAGTCTCTGTCACCACACACAGTGTTTAGTCTGTCTGCTTTCTTTTTTAAAAAAAGGTTTATTTATTTTATGTGTATGAGTATTTTTGCCTGTATGCATATATATATGTGCACCACGTGCATGCCTGTTGCCATGGATTTCCTTGAAACTGGAGTTATAGACAGGGTGCTGGGCATTAAACCCAGGTCCTCCAGAGGAGCGGCCAGTACTCCAACCCCTGACAGTCTGTTTTCTTATAGGAGTTTCCCTCCTTATCTCTGTGCTTGTTTCAGAAATTTCAACATCTTGACCTGCCCATTTCCTTATTCCTAATTTCAGCATGTTTTCCTCCATCCCCCGCACCCATGCACTCAGTGGTAGTAAGCTAGTAAGCATCTTGTTACCGTGTCATGCCTAAAAGTGCAGTAATGCCTCCTCTCCCACTCAGAAGCCTGCCTTCCAAATTACTAGAATGTGATACACACACACACACACACACACACACACACACACACACACCATTTTTGGCTTTTTAAAGACACGGTTTCTCTGTGTAGCTCTTGCTGTCCTAAACTCTCTTTGTAGACCAGGCTGGCCTTGAACTCACAGAGATCCTCCTGCCCCTGCCTCCCAAGTGCTGGTATTAAAGATATGTACCACCACCACTTGGCTGGAATGTGTTGTTGCATGGAAACCACTTCTTTGTCCTGGCCACCCAGAACCAAAATAATCACACAGAAACTATATTAATTAAATCACTGCTTGGCCCATTAGCTCTAGTTTCTTATTGGCTAATTCTTATATTTTAGTTTAACCCATTTCTATTAATCTGTGTATCACCAGGTGGCAGTGGCTTACTGGGTAAAATTCCCAGCGTCTGTTTCTGGTGGATCCATGGCATCTCTCCCAGCATTCAGTTCTGTCTTCCCTACCTACCTAAGTTCTGTCCTATCAACAGGCCCAAAGCAGTTTCTTTACTAACCAATGAAAGTGACACAAAGACAGAAGGCCCTCCTACACCAGGAATGTGCCTACTTTTGCAGCACATTGACAATGCTACCTCACTGTGCAGCACCCTTACTGCCCATGCGTCCCCTGACCCTAACCTCGCTTAACTTCTATGTTCCATCATTGTTTCACTTCTTTCTTTTAGGAAGGCCTCACCTGGTAACTGAGCACAGACAGTTACAGGTGCCTGGAGAAAGCAATGGTACCGCAGACTGGTGCTCTCTTAGGTTCAGTAGTCCATATAACTTCAGTGATCTCAAAATTCTGGATACCCTGCCATGTTGCCTTAGTCAGTGTGGTTCCTACCTTCCCTAATCATCAAACTATTGCCCTGTTTCTCATGAGACAGTGACCTCAGCTCTTGTTTTTGTTTTCTTCCCTGAGTCTCTTTCCATTCAGCTCCAGACCTGCCAGGACCTGGTTGTCTAACAGGCATCAAAGATGTAGGGCCACACATGATGCTTGCCTTGAGTTATTGAAGGGGATTCTGATGCAGCTGCATCAAGGACAGGACTTTGAAGTCAGCCAGTGGGAATTGCTCTGGGAAGCTGCAGTGCTTGGGAGTGCTGGGCTACGTAGATGGGTGGTTTGGCAGGTCTCTCTGGGTGGGCACCTTTAAGTGAAGACCAAGCAAGATGTAGATGTTTTCAGGAAGAGCCTCAGAACAGATGGAATTGTGTCCGTGCAGGTCCTTGATGGCAGACATACTGTGGGCATCATTGAGTTTCCATATATGCGGAAACTGACAGCCCGTGTGCTTCAAGTCAGCAGATCAGTGAAAAGCCACAAAATGCTTAGAGAGATGGGCCTAAGGAGTCTGCCTTCATCTGGAGGACCCCAGACACACTTGCCACGTGCTGGAATGACAGGAGTGTGTGCCATATGCTTCCCTTCCCAAGTGCTAGGATTACAGACATGTGCTACCACCCCAATTTATGAGGTGCAACAGGGCTCCATGTTAAGCACTCTACCAATAGAACCACAACTCAGCTCTCAGGATTTCTACCATTGCTCTGAGGAATCCCCATGAACGTGATGACCTGAAATAGTGCAGGCTTAGTGTCCCAGAGTTATGAGATTAGAAGCCTGTAATGAACATTTCCTTTGCATAGCCACGCAAAGCACTTGATTGGACCTCTACTAAGGGGACTTGACTTATTTCTTTCAGGACAATGTAGAGGACTGCATGCTTTGCTTCCCAGTTCCTGCCTTCCCTCCTTGACATGGTCATTTCTCTGTCTACAAAGCCTGCAGTGATAGGCCCATCTTTCTGCATCTTGTCCCTCTGACACTGGCCTTCCTGCCCCCCCCCTTGCCTCTGTGAATCTCTTGGGTGCTCTCATAATCCAGGCTTATCTCTGATTGAAGGACAGCTGATTATCTTAATGCCACCTGCATCCTTAAATCTCCCTAGTCATGTGGCCTCCAGTTGTCCTGTAGTTACAGGTTCTGGGGATTACTATGTGCCTGTCTTTGGGGCCCTGTATTCTGCCCACCACAGCCGCCCATTTGTGATTTCTCAGGTGGTTGAAATTAACCTTTGTCTTATGTTTTTGTCTTGTAGAGATTTCTGCCGTGAGAATTGCTAGTAACAATTCACTATGGGGGATATCCTGGCCCATGAATCTGAATTACTTGGACTGGTCAAAGAGGTAGTTATATGAAACACAAGTCACAAAAAAGCTTTTTTCTTGAAAAAAAAAACCGATTATTTGTGTGTTTATGTCTGTATGAATGTTTGCATTGTGTGTGTGACTGCTGATGGAGGCCATGGTGGGGCATTGGATCCCTTGGAGCTGGAGTTGCAGGCATTTGTGAGCTACCCTTTGTAGGTACTGGGGTTGGAACTCAAGTCCCCAAAACATGTATTTTAGAATGCAGTAGGACCAGAGAGATGGCTCAAAGGTTATGATCACTGGTTGCTTTTCCAGAAGACATAGGGTGATTCTCAGCACCCGTATGATGACTTAACAACCACCCTCTTCTGGCTTCTGTGAATAGCAGACATGGATATGATTCACAGATAGACTATAGACTAAAATACTCATACACATAAAAATAAAAATGAATAAAGCTTGAAAAACAAAACGAAAATGTAGCAAGAATGACTTGGTGGTTGAAAGTATTGACTGCTCTTCCAGAAGACCCAGGTTTGGTTCCTGCCCCCCACATATGGCTAACAGCCTTCTATAATTGCAGTTTCAAAGACTTTACTGTCTTCTGGCTTTGTGGATGCTGCATGCATGTGATGCTCAGATATACTTGCAGACAAGCTACCTGTGCACATGTTATAAAAATAAATCCTTAAATTATAGCAGATTTACATATGTAATCCAGGTGCTTGGGGGGCTTCAGCAGGTCAGTCTGGACTTTATACAGAGACCCTGTTATCAAAACAAATGAGTAAATGAATATACAAATAAATAGTAAGCTACAGCAAATTCTTTCTACTTCGTAATCTTTTATCTTTTACTCATTACATGATTTTCCACTTTATTCACTCATTCTTGAGTGTGTGTTGTGTTTGATTGGGTCTCCTGTAGCCTAGGATGGCCTTGAAATCCTTATCCTCCTGCCTCTGCCTCCCCAGTGCAGGGATCACAGGCATGTGCCACGGACCTGGGTTTCCCTTCTTTGACTTAGGGCCGTGTAGATTTGCTACACTGAAAGCTTGAGTAGAGTACGGTTCAGGCAGACTTCTGAGGTGGATGCTGTTCATTGTGAGTGGACTGTGAACTGTGCCTCGGGACAGTTGAGGAAGAGGGGTGTCCACTTTGGATAGGCAGCTTGGTTCATTGTGGTGATGGTGCATAACTGCTGTAGCTGGCACTGCCAGGACTGTGGGCAGGACCGGGGACCCAACCACAGTTTGGTATGACCGAAAGGACGTGTGAAGAACTGTAGTGGAGCAGTGTTTTCACTCCACAAGAGGCTCAGTGCTAACATTGCCCATTTCTAATGCTTTATTCTCCTGTTAGCATTATTTCTAATACTATTCCAAATGGATCCTAGCAAACCAAAAACCATCCAGTCATTTTGCATTTTTCAGGCTGTCACTTTCATTTCTATTCATAATAAAAGTGATGGGGCTAGAGAGATGGCTTAGTGATTAGGAGCACATATTGCTCATGCAGAGGACCCAGATTCGGTTCCTAAAACCCATCTAGGGTGGCTCATAACCACCTGTAATTCCAGCCCCAGGAAATCTGATACTTTTATCTGGAATCTGTGGGCACCTGTTTTCTGTAAAGAGTAATTGACAAAAATATGTATGTTTATGACCTTATATTTCAACATATGTGTGGATTGATGTACTGAGGTGATCACCTGATTAAACTAATAAAGTATACCTGTCTTGTGTTTCTCCTTACATTCTTCCTTTCTTCTTTCCTTTTTATGATTGTGATAAGAGCACTTAACACAAAAATCAGCCAGGTAGTGGTGGTGCATGCCTTTAATCCCAGCACTCAGGAGGCAGAGGCTGCAGATCTTTGTAAATTCAAGGCCAACTTGGTCTACAGAGCAAGTACTTCACAGTCACCTTGTTGAATATTAGCTCACAGGCTTTACTCATTTTGCATAACTGAAATTTATCTCTTCACCAAACTATTTTCTCAGTGCCTGGCAACTGCCATTGTGCTGTCTGCTTCTGTAAGCATGGCTGTTTAGATCATGCACATAATTTCAATATTTATCTTTTGTGCCTGGCCTATTCCATGTAATGTATATCTCCCCCTACCCCAGTGCCATTCATGTTACTAGTGACAGGATTTCCTAGACTGTAATATTTTATTTTAGTATCACCACATTTTCTTACCATGTTGATGGACATTTCCGTTCATCCCGTGTCTTGGAAGTCTTGAATAATGTTGCAGAAATACACGTGTGCAGATAGCACTCTTAAAAATGGATTTTAGGTGGTTGGTGGTGGCGCATGCGTTAAATCCCAGCACTCGGGAGGCAGAGGCAGGCGGATCTCTGTGAGTTCAAGGCCAGCCTGGTCTACAGAGTGAGTTCCAGGACAGGTTCCAAAGCTACAAAGAAACCCTATCTTGCAAAAGAAAAAAAAAACGGATTTTATTTTTTTCCTACCTGTACCCAAAAATGGGATTGCTGGATCATAGGGTAGTTCTGACTTTTTGTTGAGTGATTTGTTATTTAACAATTGTATACATACGCGTACATAATATGTTGTAATTACTTTCCTTCCTAGTTTTATTCTTTCAAGGAACCTCCATTTATTTTCCATTATAGCTGTGTTGGTCTCCATTGCCACTAATAGTATATAAGAGTATAGAAGGGTCTCTCCCTCTATTTCCTGCTAGCTCTTATCTTTTTGAAGACTTATTTTATGATTTATGTATATTTTATGTTTGTGTCCATGTATGTACATTTGAGTGCAGGTGCTCATAGAGCCAGAAGAGGGCATTGGATCCTCTGGAGCTGGAGTTACACAGGAAGTTGTGAACCTCCTGATGTGGGTGGTTGGGTTCTCTGCAAGAGCATCACATGCTGTGCCATTCCCAGGTCTTGTCTTTTCAATAGTAGACATTCTTGTGGGTGTGGTTTTGAGCATATTTCTGTTGACTTTTTATATGTCTGCATTAGAGTGATATATGTTCAGGGCATTTGACTGTTTAATTGGATTATTTGGAATTTGTTGGGGTTTTTGTTTGTTGTTCCTGAATTATGTTCTCTGTCCCAGTATTTAGATTTTGCTGAATTTGAGGATACCTTGAAGACATTTTCGAAAGAATGCAAAGTAAAAGGAAAGCCATTATCTAAAACTGTAGGTGGATCACTAAAGAAGGACTCCAAGTCACTGGTAATCCAGGTGAGACCATGCCCTGTCTTCAGCTCTGGGAAGAGGCTTGTGACAGTCTGAAAATTGCAAGTTCTTCAAAGCTAGGTAAAAGTAGGCTAAAGCTATCAGAGGAATGCACCAAGAACCTGAAGCCGTCATACATTAAACACATTAGGATGGTTGCTATCAAAAACAAACAAACAAACACAAATAAACAGCAGGGGCTGTAGTGATGGCTCAGCAGTTAAGAGCACTGGCTGCTCTTCCAGAGGACCCAGGTTTAATTCCCAGCACCCACATGGTGGCTCATAACCATCTGTAACTTCAGGTTCAGTAGATCTGACACCCTGTTTTGGCTTCTGCAGGTATCAGGCATGCATGTGATGCACAGACATACATGTTGGCAAAACACCCATACACATAAAATAAATCTACATCCCTACAACAACGTAGAAGATCCCCGTTTCATCTATCTTTGCTAATACTTGTTCTTTTCTAGTGTGTGTTTGATGTTTATTTATCTTTATTTTTTGATTATCCAATCAGTAACTAGTAGATAATACTGTATATTATTATGCTACAACATATGCCCCTCTATCATAGTGCTCACTGATTGATTTCCCAAACAAAAATTCTTGGAGCAAAAGAGGAGTATGGTTGCGCATGCCCCATTCCCAGCACTTGAGAGGCTGAGGCAGGAAGTTAGGATGAGGGAATCTACCCAAAAATTGGGCTAGAAAGATGACTTAGTGGTTAAACACACTTCCCAACCCTGAAGACCCGAGTTTTATTGCTAGGACTATGTGGTAGGAGAGCCAGCTCCCAGCAGTGTCTTTTGACCTTCATATACACACTATGGCATGTGTACCCATACATTACACACATACACATACATGCACACACTCTCTCTAAATTGGTGTAATTAAAATATTTTTTTAGAAACTCAAACAATAAAACTGTCTGGAATAGTGGTTAAGCAAAATCTTCTGATGGTTGGTGGCCTTAAGCTGATGTTCTTAGGCCTAGTTCCAGCAGCAATGTGATTGATGGTATGCATGCATTCCCATCTTGGTGACCCTGGCTAACAGAAGGTCGTTTGTGACCATAGTCACAGTGGGTTTTTTGTGTGTAAAGGTTATCTTAAAGCAAGGACCGTTTCCAGGTACAGATGTGATGGTTATGACATAGCAAAGGTTTGTAATTTTAGGTTTGCAAATGCAGATCTAGAATAATTGTAGACAGACCATTTGATATGTAGAGTCTGCCAAGACATATTGTAAGAAACTTCATGACTCTAAGCCTTAAAATACCAGGGAAGTCTGCATACCTCTTCCACAGTCAGAGAGCTCTCAGCCTCCAGAGTGGCTGACAGGGATGCAGGGGACTCAGAAGAGGGGATCGTGGGGGTGCGCCTAGCCCAGCAGCACAGCACGTCCATGGGCCGAGTAACTGCACCATTATAGTCTTCATTCTCAAGAGAGCGAGGAGCCTCTGCCCACGTCCTCTACTCTACTGGGGGCTGTGCATGGCCACCTGTGCTTTGTTCTGGCAGCCTGCATTCACAGTGGCTAACAGGCTGCCTGTTTGAAGGACATAGAAATGCTTTATTGGACTTGCTTTAAAAAGTTCTGGGTTTCAGCTGGTCTTTGGTGGCACATACCTTTAATCCCAGCACTCTGGAGGCAGAGGCAGGTGGATTTCTGCGTTTGAGACCAGCCTGGTCTACAGAGTGAGTTCCAGGACAGCCAGGACTACACAGAGAAACCCTGTCTCAAAAAGCAAACAGACGAACAAAAAAAAAAAATGTGGGTTGATTAGAATGGGTGGTAGCAGCTCAGGGTAAGACAGCATTCTGAGAACTGTTGTTCTCCCTCTTGGAGTTTCTGTAGTCCTCCCAGGGATTCAGTGCACTCATGCCCGTGAATCCTCCAGCCTCAGAACTGTTTTCAAGGCTTTAGTATTTCATAGAGTTCCCCTGGGTATTGCAATGGCTGAAAAGCTTAGAGTGGTCCCAGAGGCTGCAGCCAAAGGAGGTATCTAGTAGTAGGTAGGTGGTGAGAGTTTGGGGTGTTGGAAGAATGAGCATCATCTAGGACTCTTGTTTTGTCTTTTCCGCAGAACGATCTGGTGGCAGCATTTGACAATGGAGACCAGAAGTTATTCTTCGATTTGTGGGAGGGACATGTTCCCAGCTCCATCAGAGATACTGACTCTCTGGCCCAGAAGCTGGAGTTCTACCTTCACATCCATTTCGCCATCTATCCTCTGAAGTATTGTGGAGGCAGGCCGGTAGGCTGATTTGGGGTTTCAGTCTGAGTTAGCTAACAGGCTGCCATGGATTTCAAGGAAGCGTTGATTCAGTTTTGTAACCATTTTATCATGTTGCATCTTATGTCCTGATAAACAATCTTTGGCTTCATTCTTAGAAGTTTATTTTTTAATTTATGTGCAAATTTGGTAACTTCTGTGGTCAGTTAAATTTTTTTCCTAAACACCTCAGGTTCTCAAGAGACTCATCAAAACAAGTTTGCTTTATTTAGTAACTTGGTGTATCTAAGAAAAGGCATAGATCATACATTTAAATGCAAGTAATGGAGAAGTAGTATTGGAGGTGGCATGGGTAGCTTGAATTTAGCTTCTGTTGCCTTTTCTAGATGGGCTGGAGATGTGGAAAGGGAGGCAGAGGGCTGGCCTGTCAAGCCCCTGTGGTAGATGAACTTTCAGTTATAATTGAAGCAGCAAAGAGCACAGAGCTGACATTTGATCACTCACAGTAACACTGACCTGAGTTCCTGTGGGAACTCATTGGAATGTCAGGGACACCAGTGGAGGGCCCAGTGGTGAGGGAGTGGCTCCACACTACCATGAAGTAGTTCCTTTAAGTATGACCCTTGTGGGGTCTTTGATGCTTGCTATTGTTTTGTTTTGTTCTGTTTTAGTCTGCCTTATTTCTGTCTATAAATTTTTCTGTTTTGATGTAATATGGAAGTCAGTGTTATCTATTTTCTAAGTCCAGTGCTCAGAAAAGGGCCTCATGGCCTAGGTTGAGTGAGCTTTATTCACAGGAAGATGAAGGTGGGGTCTGTGTGGTAGAGGAGAAAAGTACTAGTTCTAAAGCTTCAGTGTCCACACTGAAGCCAGAGAGGAGTGAGTCCTTGAGTTGGGTCGTGTGTGGAGCAGTGATGGAAGGGTCCCTGGAGTTGGGTTGTGTGTGGAGCAGTGATGGAGGGGTCCCTGGAGTTGGGTTGTGTGTGGAGCAGGGATGGAGGGGTCCCTGGAGTTGGGTTGTGCATGGAATAGTGATGTGGGCATGGTCAATCCTTAGCTTCTTGAAGGGAAGGAGAGCCCCTCTGTTTCAGGAAACTATAAAGATGTGTCATTCCCCTTTAGAAACCTCTCTGAGGGCAACATGAGAATGCATACAAATGTTTCTATGTCTGGAAAGTGGAAGCAATGGTGGCCACATCTCACAATGGGAGAATTAGTCAAGTAGATTATGATAGACATGGTGAGATTAGTTCTGACTACGTGAGAAGATGGTGCTAGTGATGTAAAAGAACATGTGAACATGTGAACATAGGTCTTTTGGCATTCCTGTCTAAAGTGATGTCAGATGCTGTAGCAGTGTGCCTTGTCAGGCCAGACAGGAAAGTGCTAGTGGCATGGCTGGAACCTAGGGGGCCTCACAGAGTGGACAGAAGGATTGAGTACTGAGCCAAAGACCCTGAACACCTGTCCTTCTTCTTCTAGGACAAGCAGGAGCTAGATGAGAGGATTTCTTATTTCAAAACCTACCTGGAAACCAAAGGGGCCGCCTTGAGCCAGACCACGGAGTTTCTTCCATTCTATGCCCTCCCTTTTGTGCCTAATCCTATGGTCCACCCTTCATTTAAAGAACTCTTCCAGGTAAGCAGCTGCCTGTGGAACTTGTCAGAACCTGGACCACACTGTTGAATGGTGGTTTCTGAGCAATGCTTTAAAAGACCTAAGTTTTATCCTCATAATTATTATTTTATTGTAGGTCTTATTTAAATAATTATTCTATTAAATAGTTGGGTACTGTTTGACTTACTTTTAACTATCCTTTGTTAGCTGTGGTTGTATGTTCTTGCACATATATGTAAATCTGAAGGGACATAAAAAGGCCTAAAAGCACCCAAGTTAGATATCAGTAGTGACATGTAGAAGGGAATTGGGTTGTAGTCTAGAAGGTACTAAGGATGTGTAATCTGCACGAGTGGAACCACATGCTGACATAGTCTTCAGTAGCCACGTCAGACACCAGAGAAGACTCATCATATGATGCCCTTTACAGTTAACAAAGCAAACAAACAGGTTTTATCCACACATACACCCATGCACACACATCAGATCAGTTTTTCATACATCATATAGTAGAATTGATTTTGGACAGCTACGGTTCTGTGGATTTTAACATGTTCCTAGTGTAACTACTGCCACCACCATCGAGGTACAGAATTTTGCACAGTCACTCCTAAGAACCGCCTTTGCAGATGCTTCTACCCTACCTCTCTGCCAGGCAACCACTCACATTGTATTTTAAAACAGTGTTCAGGTAGTTTGTTTTAATAGACTTTCCTTTTGCCATAAAATAGGATATTTTGTTGTCATCAGTACTACAGCTTATTAACTTAAATCAACGTTTAAAAAATGTGTTAGCCTTTTGGTCATGCTGTTTATACTTTATAGGTCTTGAAGAGATGATCCACTTTTATTTAAACCTAGCTAAACTGCTTCTCTCCTTTCGCCCCTGCTGCTGCCTTGGAGTAGCCTGTCTCTGTGAGAGTGGCCTATCTTTTCTCTCTGGATTTGAGTTTGTATAATTTTACTTTAGTGCTTCCTGTGTCAAATTTCTCATTTCATTTATTGAGCCTCCTTGATTTGCTGCCTTATATGTTGAAAGAGTTCTGAAAAAAATCACAGCTTATATTTCTTCATATATTACCTCTCTTCCATTCTCTTTATTGTTTCCCTGATTCTTCTCATTATCTCCTTGTCTTTTTTTTCCCATTTTAAAAATTATGATAAAGAACATATGGGGTAAAATTTACCATTTTGGCCTGGAGTGAGGTTTTCTGCCCTTCGTCTGTGTTACCCTTAGCACAGCTGTAGTTCCTTCCCTTAGCCTCTGAGTGGAGAGCCGTAGCGGTGGGGCCTCTGAGTGGAGAGCCGTAGCGGTGGAGCCTCTGGGTCGCAAGTTTATGCTCTTAGGGTTCTTACTTTCACTTCACTGGGGACTCTGCAGTTCCTTTCCTGTCACTCAGGCTTTTTATGGACCTCATTTTATCAAGGTTTTTTTTTTTTTAAGTTATTTTTATTTTTTTTTTTTCGTTTTGTATGTGTTGCAGTGTCAAAAAAAAATTTCTTTGTGTTTTGTTCGGTGTTTTTTTTTTTTGTTTTGTTTTGTTTTTGAGACAGGACAGGGTCTCTCTAAGTAGCCCTGATTGCCCTGGAACTTGTAGACCAGGCTGGCCTCAAACTCAGAGATCTACCAGTCTCTGCCTGAGTCCTGGGATTAAAGGTGTCTGCCACCATGTCCAGCTCCTTTTTTTTTTTTTTTTTTTTTTTTTTTTTTGAGACAGACTCTCACGGTGTCATGTTGTCCTGGTTTCTTGAAACTCATTGTGTAGAATAGACTGGTCTTGACCTCACAGAGAGCTCTGTCTTGCTAGTGCTGAGGTAAAAGTATACATCATGGGCTGGAGAAATGGCTCAGTGGATAAGAGCGGATAAGAGCAGAGGACCTGAGTTTGAGACCCAGCACCCATATCAGAGAGCTCACACCTGCCTGGAACTCTGCCTTCAGGGAGTTAACACATCACTTACCTCCTTGGGTACACACAGCCACACATACCTTCACATAAATAAATAATAAAAAATTTAGAGTGTGCTTCACCAGCCCAGCTGGTCAGTTTCTTTGCAGTGCTCAGAACTGCACTGTCAGTGAACACCCTCTGTGGGAACACTTAGGATGCCTCTGATTCTTTAGGGAGAATTCCTGAGCAAGTGCTTGCTTGTGCCAGGGACTGACTTAAGCTAGTTAGAAGTGATATAAAGGAAGGGTCAAGCCTGGTGGTACAGACCTGTAATCCCAGCTAGTAGGGAGACTGAGGCAGGAAGTTTAAGGCCGGCTGGGCAATTTAATGAGATCCTATTTTCTCAAAATCAAGAGTAAAAGAAGCTGGGGTCATAACTCAGGGTGGAGCCCTTGCTGAGCCTGTAGAGCACCCTAGGTTCAGTCACTGAGGGCCTGTGAAGAATCGAAGTCTGCAGGCTCTGCAAGGGAGAGAGAGAGCAGGAGGCTGGTGTTGGGGGGACCATGGAGGTGAGCCCTGGGCCCACCCAGCCCCCACATCCTTAGTAGTCCTGCTGTGTATTAGGGTTCCACCGAAGATTCTGAAGGATCAGAGCATTCGGTTCTGGAATACAGCTCAGCAACCATGAGTGCACTGTGATCTGCCCAGGAAGAAACAGAACCAAGACAAGTGACCTTTCCCAGACTTCATCTGAGCTGGCCCAGTTCTTCCTGCCTTTCACACTTCTCTTTCAAAGTGTGGGATTGAGTGCTCATCAGACTCAGAAAGTGTCCTTTTCAAAGCTAAAAACAATAGAAATAAGAACAGTCAAGGAAAAAAATAAAGGATTCATGCATAGGGAGTTTGTATTCTAGTCTATCTATGTTGGTTGCAAAATCATTGTCAGAGAAGTAATTGAGTGGAAAAGTCCTGTTTATTGGTTATGTAAAATAGTAATCAAAACCAGAACAACTTGACTGTGTGTGTCTGGGGCGGTTAAATACTTGTTTTTGGTTTTTTGAGATAAGGTCTTGCATAGCCCAGACTGGCCATGAACTCAGCAATAACTGAGATGACCTTGAACTTCTGATCTTCCTGCCTCTAACTTCTCAGTGCTGGGATTCTAGGTATGTACTACCATGCTCAGTTTAGGTAGTATTAAGAATCAAATTTAGTGTTTTACCATGCTAATATTTAGTATGCTAGACAAGTACTCTTTCCCCAACCACATTCTCAGCCCCTGTTTTGATTGTTTTTTTTTAATTGATTTGGGAATTGGAGAAATGGCTCAGTAGTTAAGATCATTTTATTGGTTTTGCAGAGGACTCTTGGGTTTGATTCCCAGAACCCTCATGATGGGTTCCAGGGTATGCGATACCCTCTTCTGATCTCTACAAGCACAAGGCAAGCACATGGTGCAATACATCCATGCAGGCAAAAATCTTCATATATAAAATAAAATGGATAAATCTAATTTAAAAATTTAATGTTTTTACTGGGCTTGTGAGATGTCTCTGCAGGTAAAAGTACTTGTTGCACAATGTGACAACTTGGTTTTGATCCCTGGGACCCACAAAATAAAACCTGATCTCAGTATTCCTATAGTGAGGAAAGAGTGGAGGCAGGAGAATTGCTCAGAAGCTCTCATGTCAGCCAGCCTGGAATACACAGAGCTTCAAAAAAAAGAGAGATTATGCCTTAACAAGGTGGAAGGAGAGAACTGACCCCGAAAAGTTGTCCTCTGGCTGGGCAGTGGTGGTGCATGTGTTTAATTCCGTCACTCGGGAGGAAGAGGCAGGCAGCACTCTATGAGTTCGAGGCCAGCCTGGACTACAAAGTGAATTCCAGGACAACTAGAACTGTTATACAGAGAAACCCTGTCTTAAACAAAATAAGTTGTCCTCTGAACTCCATTCATACACTGTAGCATGTATGTACCCACACTAGCATGTATTACATATAAACAATAACTCAAATAAAATGTCTTGAATTACATTGGACACTTCATCTCCCTTTTTCTGAGACTCCTCAGATGATGGATTGGACAGAGCCCTAAGGTGAAGCACTGTTGCTTTCCTAGAGCAAAGCTGGACCACCAACAAGGTCTCCAGATGCCTGAGACCACATCTGGGCTGCTGTACTCATGCTCTAAGCTCTAGAAAGGAGCAGCCTTCCTTTTTCCTCCAGCTTGTGATGGACCCGATGGTTCTTGGCTTGTGTATACACCCTCTGGACATCTTCCCTCTGTGTGTGAGCTCCCTTTTTGTTCAGACTTAGTGGCACTGAATTAAGGGTCCACACTATTCCGTATGCATACATCTGATGTTTGCTATGGCCCCATCCCCAACAGCTTCATATCCCAAGGTACCAGGGACAAGGATTTCAATATGACTTTTGGTGAACTGTACAACCCATAATAGCCATACATTACAGTTTTTAAATCTTGCATCAGAGAATTTTAAACATTTTGAAAACAAGGGAATTATTTCTTATCTGTCAGTATTGTGTTTAAACATCAGATGGCATAAGGAGTAGATTGGTTGATGACGAGAATGTGGGAAGGGTGCTGAAGGAAGGGTCCTGGCCTGGAGAGAAGAAGATGTGAGGAGATCTGCGAAGGGAGTGGGTATGATGTGAGTGGAACAGCTGCTTTTATGTGGAATTTTTTTTTATTATAAACTGATTTGTAGCGAGGAGCTGCAGGGCAGGCCTGCTTTTCGTCCCACACGGCTCCTGCCCGGCTAGCTCAGTCGGTAGAGCATGAGACTCTTAATCTCAGGGTCGTGGGTTCGAGCCCCACGTTGGGCGCCATATGTAGCATGACGGCTGGCTTGTTGGGGTTTCTGTCCCGCCCGGTACTCCACAACCGGCAACTCTCAAGGAAAAATCACACACAGGACTCCATAAGGTTATAAACTGATTGGCCCATTAGGTCAGGCTTCTTGTTAACTCTTATAACTTATATTAACCCATTCTCATCTATGTTAGCCATAATGGCTCCATACCTTTCTCAGCTGGGCAAGTTACATGCTGCCTCTTCAGTGGTCTGAGCGGGAGTGCTGGGGGAGCTCTGCTTCCAGAATACTCCCAGTCTCTTTGCTCCACCCCTACTTCCTGTCTGGCTTTCCCGCCTATACTGCCTGCCTGGCCAATCAGCGTTTTATTAAAATGATTGACAGAATACAGACAATTCTCCCGTATCACTGATTGGTCCATTAGCTCAGGCTTCTTATTGACTCTTTTTTTTATCTTATGGAATTTTTATTATTCATTATAATTTTCACAAAAAGAAATCTAATTTTTGAATTGCTAAAATTCAAATCTCCCCAAAGAAGCTACATTCAGGGATACTTATTTGTTAAAGCAAAACTCTTCTTTTTCCTTAAAAAATTAAACAAATTAATTGGTTCCAATCAATTGGATTTCTTTTTTTTATTATTTTTTTATTAATTTATTTATTTGTTTATAAAAATTTCTACTTCCTCCCCTCCTCCCCATACCCTCCCATTTCCCCCACTCCCTCTCCTCCTCCCCCCCAACTTCCTCCCCTCCTTCCTCTCCAGTCCTAAGAGCAGTCAGGGTTTCCTGCCCTGTGGGAAGTTCAAGTCTTATTGACTCTTATAACTTATATTAACTCATTATTCTTGTCTATGCTAGCCATGTGACTTGGTACCTTATTCAGCGAGGCAATCACATCTTGCTTCTGTGGTCAGGTCAGGACTGCAGAATAAGCTTTCCTCTTCCCAGAATTCTCCTGTTCTCATTGGCCCACATATACTTCCTGCCTGGCTACTGGCCAATCAGCATTTCTTTAAAATATATTTGACAGAATACAGACAATTGTCCCACACCACTTCCCCCTCTTTTTTTTTTTTGTAACAATAACTCTGAATCTAATATCCTTTGTTTAGCTTTTCTCCTGACCATTAGCCATAACAACTTGTAACCAACATTCTAAACAAAGGAAAATATCCATAGTCCATCTTTGGAGAATGTGGGTATAGTTTTCCAGGCTACTTCCTGCTGGTTGGGGGCACTGATAATCTTATGGGGACCTAAAGAAAATTTAGAATTATGATCAAGTCCTGACTGGAGTATCCTGTGAGGCTTGATCATCTCAGGCAACATCTTGAATCTGTTCTGGATGTAGAACTTAGACATCTGGACCACCTGTTGCTACCGGAGATTTCTCAGGTGATCTTCCTTGATCAAACCTGATTTTTCTTAACTCAGAATAAATCCATAGCCTCTCATTTTCTGTGGAAACAAAAGCAAAATCTCTTCTCCAAAGTAACATATCTTTTGACTTCAATTTTGAAGTAAGGTATTTTCAAAATACCTATCTCAGATTAATTCAGCAGCATTTATAAACAAATATCTTTTAGTAGCTGTTGCTCCTTCCTCAGCATTCGAACAATTCAAAGAGAGCATAATAACATACAGTATCAAGATTCTCTGTGTGTTTTCCATCTTTATGTGGCTTTATTTTAACCTATATTTCTTTTATTTTTGACTTTTTGAGACAGGTTCTCTGTGTATCTCTGGCTGTCCTCGAACTCCCTCTGTAGACCAGGCTATCCTTGAACTCACAGAGATCAGCCTACCTCTGCCTCACAAGTGCTGGGATTAAAGGTGTGAGCCACCACACCTTGAATTCACAGAGATTTGAGACAGGATTTCTCTTTCTGGAGCCCTGGCCTTAGACCAGGCTGGCCTCAAACTCACAGAGATACACCTGCCTCTGCCTTCTGAGTGCTGGGATTAAAAGTGTGCACCACTACAACTGGCAGTAACTTATTTTCAAGGGCAGATTGAACTAAAATTATATTACAGTGCTCGCCATGACATGAGGTAGTGTGGCGGGTACCACTTCTTTCATATTGTGTAGACGAGGTCTAGAAGTGACTCCCTTTTTTTACCATGGCTTGCATGCCTAGACTGTGCTGAATTATGTTTGGTTTTCAGCCTAATAAGGTTACCTATCTTGCTTATTTAAATCACATAAAATTTTCCAGTCATGTGCAAGTTATTTGTCCCTGCTGTGGATCCTTGAATTATTTATGAATGAATCAGTCACACATTAGGAAACCTGTTTTCCGTGCTCTCCCAACCCTAGCAGGCAGCTTCACATTTGGTTTCTGTAACTCACAGGACTATTTAACCCCATATCCACAGCTTTGTTGGTACCGTGGCTATTTAGTGAGCTGATGTTTTGTTTGTTTCTTCAGGATTCTTGGACCCCAGAATTGAAGCTGAAGCTGGAAAAGTTTTTAGCTTTAGTTTTTAAAGCCAGTAACACGCCAAGACTTTTAACCATCTGTGTATCCTTTTGAAGCGAGTGGGGACCCCTGGGTTATAGCAACAACACTGGCTTTGGGTATCTTAGACCAGCAAACTGTCGAGGATCTGCTGCATTTGTTTATGAGGTGAAATAAGCATCTGTGGGGGGCTTTGCCATGAACTGGAAAGGGCTCACTTTCATGGGTTTCTGAGACTTGGCAATGGTCTAATTTTTTTTTGAAAGATATATTTATTTTAGTGTGTGTGTGTTAGTACAGGTATCTACAGAGGTCAAAAGAAAGCATCAGATACCCAGGAGCTGGAGTTTCAGGAGGGTGTGTCCCATGACATGGGTGCTGGGAACTGAGCTCAGGCTCTCTGGGAAAGAAACAAGTGTAACCATTGAGCCATATTTCCAGCCCTCTGGTCTTATATTGGTATCATCAGCCAAGAAACTGTCTCGGGAGGAAAAAAAAGAAAAAACTCTATATTCAAAAAAGTGTTCCTTTGCAAAGGCCCTTGAGTCATTTGGGAGGCCTCGAGGTTGTGGCGTTTGGATTTGCCACTCAAATCAAGACTTCTTTCTAAACAACCATGTTGCATAGCTGTATATTCTATAAAGTTTACCCATCATAAGTGTCAAAGTCATTGATTTTTAGCAACTGGACATAGTTGTACAACCATTATCTTAATCCAATGTACTGGGGACATTTTTGAGAGTACAGAGGGACAGTGTCACAGCTATAAATGGAGCCTGTTCCAAGAATAACAGAATGTTCTGTCACCCCTCCCATTAGAGACTGACTTATTCCCCAGTGGTTGTTAGTCTTCAAGAACATGAGTCTTTTCTTGTTGGACAAGCATCTATCCAAATGTATCTTATACACAGGCCTGGGTTTGATCCCTTACCCTGGAAGAAAAGAAGAACAGAGGTGACTGCAGTGCTGGATGTGCAGCTCTCACTGTGTGGAAAGTCACTGAAATGCACACTGAATAGGCCCGCACAGCATGCGTGCACGGAACTGTTAGCAGAGAAGGAAGAAATCCATCCGTAGGAGAAATGAAAGGCGTGACTCTGCTCATTGTACAGACGTGGGAGCTTGGCAGCCCAGCTCCCGGTGCAGCCTTAGCCACTGTCCTCCCCTAGTGTGTGCCCTCGGGATGAAGCTTTAGAGCTGCAGTGACAGTTTTAGTGTTACGGGTTCAGAGGAGCATACTAGAAAGGCTTTGCCAGCAGTGCAGAGACCTCTGTTAGGGGCAAGCAGTCCAGTGTGGAGGCTGTGGAGATACTGCAGCGTGTGGTTCTCGTGGAGATCGCTGTGGCAGCGTGAAGGGGTGGCAATGACTAAGCAGCGTGAGAAACTGCTCTCTGGTTGTTTTCAGCAACCTCTGGAGCTCTGGTCTCTGCTGGGTCAGTCTCTCCCGTCAGCCTCTGGCCCTTTCTCCGCCAGCCTCACAACACCAGATGCCCCAGGGCTGTTTTCCTGAGCCGCTTTCTCGTCCCAGAAGGAGAATGGACAGAATAGCAAAGGTAAATCATCTTGATTACAGCTTTCATGAGAACAGCTTTGCCAGCTCAACTTCTAAGCTGTGAGAAGAAACAGAGACGGAGAGAATTTGTGGACTTGGCAAATGAGGGCTTTCAAAGTCTAAATATTTACAGAGTGCCTTGTGATCCTGCTCTGTTCAGTTCCTGGAGGCCCACTCTTTAAGGATGGCTGGTGGGCCACCATGTCCAGCGTATTAGATAAGAAATGGAGAAAAGGGAAACAGCCAAGTCCCAGGCTGGCAGGAAGCACACAGCCAGCTTGGGGCAGAGAAAGTATTTTAACAGCTCAGCTCTTACCTCTAGTTTGTCAGATGCAGTTCCAATTTTAGACAGCATTTCCATCTTTTTAAACATCAAAGTAGTTTCAGTCGTGAGTGTTTACATAAGATGGTATTTTTTCCATGGACAATAGTTCTTACTGGAGCATTTCATCTTTGAGTAAGGTGAGAAAAACTAGTTAATATGCTGCGGTGGCTTTAGTTGCAATGCACTGCCGTGGTCTTGTCTTAGATACTCTGTTTTGAAATGCCTTCAGTTGTTGGGAAGTGTTTGTGATGAGCTTCACACACAGGTATTTAGGAAGGCAGGGTCCTCAGCTCCCAGCAGAGGGAGTTTTCCTATATGAAAATTTGGGCCATGAAACAGCAGTGTTGCTCTTTTCCAAGGAGAGCGGTGTCAGAAGGTTTGAGAACTTCCTGCTTTTTTTTTCTGTGCTTTACTTAAGAGAATTAAATTTTTTTAAAAATATTATTTTTATTTTATATGTATAGGTATTTTGTGTCCATGTAAGTCTATGAACCGCACAGGTGCCGGTTTCCTTCAGGTGTCAGATCCTCTGGAATTGGGGTTACAGGCAGTTGTGAGTCAGACCTGGGTCGTCTGGATGAGCAGCCAGCCCCAACCTCTAAACCCTAAAAATCTCCCACACCAGCATTTTCTTTTTAAGAAAGGAAGTATTAGTAAATTTTTAAATTCAGTTTACCAGGGAGTTGGCAAATGAGTGATCATTTAGCTGTGACACATACGGAGAGTCTGGTAGCATGAGACAAGAAGGTTCTGAATGTTCTGTCTTGGTTTCCTCCTGTGTTAGCCATCTTCCCATCATCACAATGAAATAAACAATGGAGGCAGTTAACTTAAAAAGCAAAGGTGCTGATTCAGTTCTCAGTTCCGGGCTGCAGCTCTACATGAGGCAGCTGGTTGCTTGGGTCTCTGGTGAGGGCACCTGATGTTAATAAATAGTAAGTGATGTGGTAGAGCGTGCTACTTACATCCTGAACCAGGAAGCAAAGAGAAGACGGTCTGGGTCCTTCCTGATGTTTTGGTGCCCTCCTAGTAGCAACTCCCTGGGGATTAAGCCACTAACACATGAATATATGGGAGACACTCACTCTAACTGTTGGATTGTACCACTGGCCCCAGAAGCTAATGACCATCTCACAGTGAAAGCATATTCGTTCCATTCTGAGAGCCCCCAAAACTTGCTTGTTCTAGCATTACTCAGAAGCCCCATACTAGAGATTAATCTAAGATGCAAGACAAACCCATCTCTGCACTCTGAAAAAGACACACGAAAAAATCAGAATGTGGGCAGGATACAGGTTCCTAATCCAAAAGGAAGGAATGGGAAAATAAAATGTAGTGAAGCACCTGAAGCAAGAGCCAAGCCCAGGCCAGGCAGTAGTAGTGCACACCTTTAATCCCACCACTCAGGAGGCAGAGGCAGGTGGATCTCTGAGTTAAAGGCCAGCCCAGTCTACAGAGCAAATTCCAGGACAGGCTCCAAAGCTACACAGAGAAACCCTGTCTTTAAAACCCAAAACAGAACAAAAAATTCCAAGGCCAGCAGGGCAAACGTGAAACCCTACCACACATAAGTTCAGCACTTGGGGCAGTATGGTGGGATATGAACTAAGGGCTCCCTACCTTGCCTCCGTCTGTTGCTTATTCTGGTGGCAGCCCACATGGCCACTCTCAAGCTGGCTATGCATCCTGCCTGCAACTTTCCTAAGTGGGCATTGTACATTGCTGGCCCCTTCTCTTGTGGCTTCGTGTCACTGCTGGGGCCTTATAATGTATTACCTCACTGGGAGTTACTTGCAGGGACTCAACCCGAACACCCTGCTTAGCCTCATGGGCTTCCTGTGAGTGACCCTGGATTCTGTTGTCAGTATAAAACATCCCTGACCTATTAGAAGTTGAGTTTCAGTCATCTGAATGCCTTGCTGACTGACCTCAGAAATCCCAAGGCCGTCTTGAGCGAATAGAGCATCCGTAGGTTTGGTTTTGGTTTTTGCGGAGTCTTGAAAGTAGCACAGTCTGGGCTCCCGTTGCTCTTTCTGGAAAGTCCTTGAAACCAATTTATGTTTTTGCATTTCTGAGTCTGTGGTGGCCTTGCAGGTGTCTGCATTGTCCTCTAGGCCCATTTCCTGTTGTCTCAGTAGAAAGGCCTTGATTCACTTATACCTGAGTTTAAGCTTCTCTTTATTAGAGCTAGTTTCTTTACCAACTAAGATAAATCTTGGCCATATGTCATTGCTCCTTTCCTGGCTAGGTGTTTTGCTCTTGATTCTCACTGAAGATTTGGTTAAGAATAGCAGCCAGTGCCCATGTCGTAGCCTGAGTGCCTTGTGGCCATGAAGTCTCTGCCAAGTAAGCCACATTTCAGGCTGGCTCTCAGACTTAATGTAAGGAAGATGGCCTTTTCTCCGGTCCCAATAGAATTCTCTTTTCCTTCTGGAAGTATACAACATGGGTCTTTTTGTCTGTGATTGTTTTTGCATGAAGGCCCTACCTGGCTCACCCATTAAACGTGGTAAACTCCAACTCTGCTGATAGCATTGAGGATTCCTCGAGCCCCATCTATGCACTCCCACACACACACAACACCAGGTGTAGTGTAGTCAGCAGCCCTGAATCTTAGTGCCAGTTTCTCTCGCAGATCCCAAGCCCAGTGGTTCCAGATGTGTGACTGGTTCTGCCTGCTGTATTCCTCACTCAAGGCTCAGAGTGGGCAGGTCTTCTCCATGGAGGAGCAGGAGTATAGAGGTGTCTTCACAGGGCCAACCTTGAATGCGTGGCAGGCACTACCAGGCTACTACATAGCTGGCACACAGCCTAGGAGCACTGCAGCACCTGAGGTTTCTCTGCCCACTACATGGGCGTGCCAGGGAATTCTCAGCTGCTCTTGTCAGAAGAGTCAGGGCCAGCCCTTGGCTTGTTTTTTTGTTTGTTTATTTATTTGGTTGGTTTTGCCTTGCAAGACAGGGGTTTTCTGTGTATCCCTGACTGTCCTGGAACTCACTCTATGGACCAGGCTGGCCTCAAACTCAGATTTACCTGTCTCTTCCTCCCCACGCTAGGATTAAAGGTGTGTGGCACTACCATACCCAGCCCCAGTTGATATCCTTAAACACGATCGCATTGTTGGCACTTGCCCTGCTGCTCCTGTAAGTGCACCTTCTGCCCACAGTTACACTACTGCCATTGTGTGCGGGCTCCCATTTTATTAGCTACCTATGTACCACTGGGCATCTAGGCTCGTTCCGTGGCTTTGTTATTGTGAATGCAGTAGCAGTAGAGTGGTTATACAGCTATTCTTGTGGTGGGACAAAGAGTCCTTGGGGTGCATGCCCAGGAGTGGTGTAGCTTGGCCCTATGACCTTTGTAGGGAACCTCTATTGTGCTTTCCATAATTGCTGCTTGCGCTCATTGTCCCACCATCAGTGAGCAAGCATCCTTCCACGTCCTCACCAGCATTTGCTGCTGGATTTCTTTTTCATTATTGTCACCTCTTATGCAGTGCTATGAAGGATTGAGGCAGAAGGCTTGGCAGCCTCAGAGAAGAGCATGGCTACTTGATTCTGGGTTTGCTGCCTCTGCTGTCCTTGTGTTTGCCTTCAACGTCGGCTGTCTTCCTAGAAATGCTGCAGCAGCTCCATCAGCAGCTGGTGGAGGCCGAGCGACGGGCCATGACCTACCTCAAGCGGTACAATAAGATCCAGGCCGACTACCACAACCTCATTGGAGTCACAGCCGAGCTGGTGGATTCTCTAGAGGCCACGGTCAGTGGCAAGATGGTAAGGAACGTCCCCTTTGTGTATTTCAGAGAAAGTGCATGGAACCTGGACTGCATTGCTGTGGGACTCCTAGCCCTCACTGATGGAGCCTGCCCTGTATTTCAAAAGGCCAATGTACAGCAGCCATGCCAACACTTGCAGTATTTTACCTACTTCATTGATGTCAGTTTCTGCTTTACTCTTTTTTTTTTTTAACTTTTAAAATGTTATTTATGGCCAGGTGATAGTGAGTGACATACACCTTTAATCCCAGCACTCAGGAGGCAGAGGCAGGCAGATCTTTGTGAGTTCGAGGCCAGCCTGGTCTATAGAGCGAGTTCAAGGACAGCTAAGGTTGTTACAAAGAGAACCCTGGCTCGAAAAACAAAATTCAAAACAACAACAACAACAAAACAAAATGTTATTTATGGGCCCATTGTAGCAGCATACACTTGAATCATAGCACTTGGGAGGCAGCGGAAGACAGATCTCTGTGAGTTCGAGACCAGCCTGATCTACATAGCAGGTTCCAGTTTAGCCAGGCCTTACATAATAAGACCCTGTCTTTAAAGAGAGAGAGGGGGAGAGAAGGAGAGAGAGAGAGAGAGAGAGAGAGAGAGAGAGAGAGAGAGAAAGGAAACAAAACAAAACAAAACAAACCCAAAGAGATGCACAGAGTTGAGCGAAGTGTCTGGGTACTGAGTCAGCACAGGAAGAGCCATTGCTTTACTGTCCCTGGCAGGGAACTGCTCCCCAGCTCTGTTAACACATAATTTTGTTGTTGTTGTTGTTATCAGATAACTTGTGATAAATGGCTAGTGTAAAGAATAAGGTATAGGGGTAAGGACCCAAGTTTGACTCTAACATGATTTTTAGAGGAGAGAAACTGTTCAGCCTTGAATAGGCTTGTAGAAACTCATATCACACAGAAAGTCTGCAAAGAAAAGCACACACCTCCCTTTTGTCTTCTCTCCTATTATAAAATAAGTGCCCCCTTCTGGGTGTGTCTCTAGCAGCCAGGAGGATGTGATTCTTGGTGTGGCTTGAAGATCAAAGATGAGCTCTGAGCTCCTGCTACTGACTTCCCCAGCTGAGACTTGCAGATGTCAAGGCAGAGATGCTGAGGTGAAGCACGGTTAATAAAATCTGAGAGTCAGAAATTGGGGTTCAACCTGAAGCTCCAAAGAGCAAAACAGTCAACCGCTGGCTCTTACCTTGACCTCAGTCTGAAATGGCGATGTTTCCTCCCAGAATCTCAGAATGAGAATGCGCCTATAAAAGCTGTCTTCCCCCCGCCTTATATTCCTCTCTAGGACTGGGTAAAGGTGTGCACCACCGTCATTAAAGCCATGCACCGCCCTGTTTCTATGGCAGCTAGTGTGGCTACTGAGATTAAAGATGGGTGTCATTGTGGCTACTGGGATTAAAGGTGTGTGTCTTTATGGCTACTAAGATTAGAGGTGTGTGTTACCATTATCTGGTCTGTAAGGCTAGCCTGGTCTACAGAGTGAGTTCCAGAATAGCCAGGGTTGCACAGAAAAACTCTGAGGAAAAACACTTGCTCTTGCATTGGACAGGGCTCAGTTCTCCCTGAACTGACATAGCTTCTGGAAGTGGTCTGGCGCCCTCTTTTGGTCTCCTTGGGGAACCAGGCACGTATGCAGTGCCCTTACATGTAGGCAAAACACATAAAAATACAGAAATCTTTAAAAAAAGGGGGGGGGGCAAAACATAAAGGATTCATTCTTTTTTATTTTCATCTAGATCGTATGTGTGTAGGTGTTTTGCCCGTATGTGTGTTTATTCACCATGTGTATACCTGGTGCCCAAGATGGCAAGAAGAGGGGCATCAGATCCTGTGGAGTTGGAATTATAAGTACATGTGAGTTCACTAATGTGGATGCTGGGTACTGAACTCAGATCTTCTGGGAGAGAGCATCAAGTGCTCTTGACCATCGAGCCATCTCTGCAGCCCCATGGCTCATCTAGAAAGATGTGCTTATGACAAAAAATTTAAACAATGCAGAGGACCCCACCATGCTTTCACCCCATTTTGACATTAACATGTTCTTGCATGTGATTTCAGTACATTTGTGTGCATACATACAGGCTTGCAAGTGCAGACACATGTACCCAGTGTTCTTAGATTTAGTTGCGGTCTTATGACCCATCACCCCTCTAAAACTTGCTACTTATTTCCCATTTATCACAGTGTGTTGATGGTCTTTGCCCTCCATCTTTTCTTTAGCACATTAGTAAAACAGTGGAATCAGTGAGTCCCTCCTACCCCATTCTGCAAGTGCTTATGCAGATTCCTTCTTAAGGACGACCCATTAGGCAGCTCTCCAGTGATGAATATTGAGACCTTGTTGCTGTGCTCCAGGGTTCTATCAGAACGTGTTTCTCTACACACTTCGGTAAACACCACCCATGGTTAAACTTTATGGTTGGGTGTGGTTGTGCACACTGTAATTCCAGCAGAGCCACCCTGAGCCATTCTGGCAGGAAGTCAGCGTCGTGTTGTCATGCACTTGACAGCTTATTAATAATGGCCGTTATCTACTTAGCTGGCGCTTCCTTAATACCAGACATATCTGGCCTCATCGTTCCTCACTAGAATCAATCAGGTAGGCATCTTTTATCTCACCGATGGCTCAGGAATGCAGCTGCTCATTTGTCCACAATCAAAAACTGGACCCCAGGTCTTCAGATTTGAAAGTGCCATTCTTGCCACTGCATATGGCCGGCCACTTACTTTGTGCCTTGAATTTACAGGATCAGCTGAAAAACCATTTATTTTCCATGAAGTTGAAATGCACTGTGTGGAATGGTACCCTTCAAAGTAGGGCAACTGTGATTATACCTGTATTCAGTTACCTTTTTCTTTCTTTCTGACACAAGGTTTCTCTGTGTAACAGCTCTAGCTGTCCTGGAACTTGCTCTGTAGACCAGACTGGCCTTGAACTCACAAAGATCCACCTGCTTCTGTCTCCTGAGTGCTGGGATTAAAGGTGTGCACCACCAGCAGCTCCCAGTACTTTGTAAAAATTATTTTAATTGTATGTGCATTGGTATTTTGCCTGCATGTTTTTGTGAGGGTGTTAGATCCCCTGGAACTGGATTACAGACAGTTGTGAACCACCATGTAGGTGCTGGGAATTGAACCCTGGTCCTGTGGAAGAGCAGCCAGAGCTCTTAACTGCTGAGCCATCTCTTCTACCTCTGTAGTCAGTTACTTTTATATATTGGGTCAGTGTGTTAATTCCTCTCCAGAGCTCTGGGGTTATGGTGGTTACTTTTAATTATCCACCTGATACAATCTACATCCACCTGGGAAGAGATCTCAGTGAGGGATTGTCTGGATCAGGCTGGCCTAAAGACGTGTCTGTGGAGGAGTGTCTTGATTTAAGTTAATTGATTGGGAAGACCCAGCCCACTGTGGACAGCACCATTTCCTAGACCTGGATTCTGAACCGTGTAAGAATGGAGAAATCAAGTTAAATAGAAAGCATGCATCATGCATTCTCTCTGCCCTTGACTGGATGTGACTGGATGCTTCAAGTTTCTATTACCAACTTCTCCACAGTGACAGGCTATACCCTAGATTAGTTTTAAAGTAAACCCATTTTTCCCTATGTTACTTTTTGTGTCTTAGTTAAGGTTTTATTACTGTGAAGAGACACCATGATCATGGCAACTATTATAAAGAAAACATTTAATTGGGGTGGCTCACAGTTTCAGAGGTTCAGTCCATTATCATCATAGTGGGGAGCATGGAGCAGGCCAGTGTGGTGCTGGAGGAGTAGCTGAGTCCTACATCTTGCAGGAAATAGGAAGTCAACTGAGGTATTGGGCGGTATCCTGAGTGTAGGAAACCTCAGAGCCCTCCCCAACAGTGATGTTCTTCCTCCAACAAGGCCATACCCACTCCAACAAAGCCACACCTCCTAATAGTGCCACTCCCTATGAGATTATGGAGGCCAGTTACATTCACACACCAGAGTATGGTAATTTTGTCACAGCAGCAGAAACTAGGACAGAGGATAAAGCGTAAGATGCTCTTCTAGCGTGGCTCTTTCATCAGCTCACCTATAGGAAGTGCTGAGGTAGCGGGCCTTGGAGGTCTCGAGGGCAAGCTGTATTCCTTTCACCTGTTGACCTTGTCCTTGCAGATCACCCCCGAGTACCTGCAGAGCGTCTGTGTCCGCCTCTTCAGTAACCAGATGCGGCAAAGCCTGGCACACAGCGTGGACTTCACAAGGCCTGGGACGGTGAGGCACCATGAGAGAAAGGGTGTCCTGGATTGGTCCCCCCAGACTTAAAGTGACCTCACTAAAGAGAGTGAAACTGTGAGAAAGTGACATCCAGGAAACTCGGATGCATTTGTCTTTGGCAGTCTGGAAATTCCCAGAAGGAAAGCAAAGCTGTTTTTGAGGAGGGTGCAGCTGAGGGTCAGCTGTTGGGGTGAGCAAGGAAAGATGCTGTTTTGATCTGCCAGGGCAGTCGGGAGGAACAAATAGAAACCCTGCTTTATCTTTTGAAAGAACTCTTAGGGCTGGGATGATGTCTCAGTCAGTAAAGTGCTTGGCGTGCAAGTGTGAGGACCTGAATCTAATCCCTGAAGCTGGGACACCGCTGACTTCCTATTGCTGGGAAGGCAGAGAGGTAGGCAGGTCCTACCTGGTCAGCTTCAGGGCAGTCGATAGTGTCCAATGATTACAACCAAGCCTGTTCTGTCCTTCACATGTACATGTGCACGTACATGTAAAAGAACTGAAGGTGAAAGATTGAATGGCTTAAGACAAGGTGGTTTTTCTTTTTAACTTTTTATCCAGAATAGTTACGGGCTTGCAGGGAAGTCATAAAAATAGCAAGGGACGCTGGAGTCTTCCTTGACCAGCGTTTATTTGCTCCTTTTGTGTGTGTGTCTGTGAGTTTCAGTATGTGTGTTTCTACCCTCTGCTATGTGTCTCCACACACACACACATGAACATACACAAACACGATAGGTTTTAGAAAACATTTGTACATATTTTTCAGGTGGGTATATATTTATCTTTGCTTTGCCTTGTTTTGTTGAGACAAGATCTCATGTAGACCAGGCTGGCAGTGAACTTGCTGATCCTTAAATTCTGCTCCTCCTGTCTCTAACTCCCAAGAGCTGGGATTACAGGCATGGAATACCACACCTGACTACTTCTCATTTTCTTTTAGAGATTTGTTTTGACGACTTTTAATTATGTGCAGCATGTCTCCATGAGCTCTGTGCATGTGAATGCATACAGACCAGAGGCCTTGGATGCCCATAGCTTTTCAGCGCTGAAACTTGAGTCCTGGAAAAGCAGCAAGTGCTCACCTGCTGGGCCATCTCTACTCCTCAGTGTGTGTCTTTCAGACTTGACTGTGTTGGTCTCTTTGTGATCCCAGGACTAAAGAGGCTGATGCAGGAAGAATTCTAGCAAATTTGAGATCAGCTTGGATTACACAGGGAGGGTGAGACTCGTGGGCTGTAGGAGACTGTCTCAGAAACCAAACCAAACAGAGGTAAACATGAGAATTGCTGTTCTCTTACCCGACCACATAATTATCAACTCCAGTAAATTTAACATCTGTCTGTCTGTCTGTCTGTCTGTCTGTCTTCTCTGTCTACCTATAGTCATTTTATCTAATCTTTCCATTTCCATTCCTCTGTGGAGCCAGTACTGCCCTTCATGGCCACCCACTCAGTAGGCTGGGGTCTGTGTTGTGGGAGTCATCTGGACTGTGTAGCTCCTTCGATCTGGATCATTTTCCTGCTCTTCTCTTTGACTTTCATTGTGTTGACATGTGAGGAAACTCTAGTCCCCAGACTACAGCTTGGCTGGGCATGGTGGTGCAAGCCTTTAATCCCAGCATGCAGGAGACAGAAATAGGCAGATCTCTTGTGAGTTCAAGGCCAGCCTAGTCTACAAAGTGAGTTTCAGGACAACCAGGGCTACCCAGGGAAACTGTTTCAAACCCCCCACCACTCCCCTGCAAAGAAAGCAAAGCAGACTACCCTCCTTGTGTTTCGGTATTGCTTTGCGATTTGGGCTCAGGTCTTACATCCCATGCTGAGTGTTGTGGGGGTTGGATGGGGTGGGGATGGAACGTTCTTCTAGGACAACACACCTGGAAGTGCACAGTGTCGAGTCAGGGCCTCCTAACCCTGGATGTCACCAGTGTCCCCAAGGACATCTTCAAAGTTCAGGAGCCACCTTCATCCTAGATCTCAGGCCTGTCTGCTGCCTGGTCAGAGGCTGAGTGGGCGAGTCCAGGTCTGGACAGAGGCCCTGATGATCCGCAGTACCCTATAGGCCAGCTCAACTTTAAATAGGATTTACATACTCACATTAGAATCTCCATAAACAGGGCTTGAGAGATGGCTCAGCAGTTAAGAGCACTGACTTCTTCCAGAGGTTCTGAGTCAGTTCCCAGCACCCACATGGTGGCTCACAACTATCTGTAGTGAGATCTGGCGCCCTCTTCTGACCTCTAGGGTTACATGCAGGCAGAACACTACACAATAGACAGTAGACAAATAAATCTTTAAAAAAAGAAGAATCTTCATAAACAGAAGTTGTCTTTACTATTAAAAACAAAATTACACCTTCCCTCACTCTCAAGTGGATTTAAAGTGGCTTATTGAAAGAAAGATAAATGTGAAAAAATATAGATTAGAAATAGATTATGGATGAAAGGAAACAAAGAGTAAGCTAAGCCAAGGTGAAGGATGGTTGAGCAGTGCCTGTTGCAATATGTTCCCTATAGGAGGGATGTGATCCAATTTGCAGATCAGTTATGCTGATATGTTTACTCAAGTACCAAGGAGCTGTCCCCACAGCTGCTGGCCATGTCCTTACACAGGGACAGACAGAGTCTGGACTGTGCAGTCTGTCCCTTAAGATGTGACCATGGAGATTTAGTATGTAGAAATCTTAGGACTCACTGTTTTTTTGTTTGGTTGGTTGCTTTGTTTTTTGAGACAGGGTTTCTCTGTAGTTTTGGAGCCTGTCCTGGAACTAGCTCTTATAGACCAGACTGGCCTCAAACTCACAGAGATCTGCTTGCCTCTGCCTCCCAAGTGCTGGGATTAAAGGCATGCACCACCACCGTCCAGTTAGGACTCGCTGTTTTAAAGATACAAAATAAGTATTGGCCATCCAGGTTTTAAGAATACACCCTCCTGGGGCTGGAGAGATGGCTCAGAGGTTAAGAGCACTGTCTGCTCTTCCAGAGGTCCTGAGTTCAATTCCCAGCAACCACATGGTGGCTCACAGCCATCTATAATAAGATCTGGCGCCCTCTTCTGGCATGCAAGCATACATGGAAGGAATGTTGTATACACAATAAATAAATCTTAAAAAAAAAAAAAAAGAATACACCCTCCTGGGAGGCCTACAGGATAAAGGGCTTCAAGTCAGGCAATTGGCCAGTCACCTAAAACCTGCTAGTGGCTGCAAAATTCACTGCACTGGTTACAGTCTGGACTTCTTCATATCCTCTTCTGAACCACAAACTAGGACAGGAGAACTAATCAGAGGGTTTGTAAAGATCACCATCAACACTGACAAAGCTCCTGTTGGAGAGCGTGGGCTTCATTTTTGGAGAGATAGGGTCCCTACTCTGAGTTCAGGAATTGTATCAGTCTGAATAGCCCACCAAACCTGGACTACTTCCCTCACCACAGAGAAACCACACGGGGGCAGCGTAGATGAGCAGGAGCTGGCCTTACCACAGAGCCGCCACACGGGGGCAGCATAGACAGCAAGAACTGGCCTTAGTTCCTCTAGCAGACTCTGCAGTCAGCAGGAATGGCTGGAAGGGTGAGTCAGGAGTGCCCTGTCCCACAAACCTAGTCAGTCATTCCCTCTACCCAGAAAAAAGAAGGACAACTCTGGCAGAAGGCCTCACACACTCCAGGAGAGGAGGGGGACTCTTGTGCCTTGTCTCCTCGTTTCCAGACCACTGGGTCCAAAGCTGCCTGTCCGAGCTGGCTGACAGATCTAGTTGCTCCCAGAAGGATTGGCCCTGCTGAGAGTCTGCTCTTCTAAGGTAGAGGAGTCTCCTAGATGTCCTGTAGCACTGAATCCTGCATGTCACTTTGTCCCTGTGAGGCTGACCTAACCCGAGTTTTCCTCATCTTTGCCTTACGAGGGCCAGAACTGGGGTAGATAGAAATCACGTTATGTTCTCAGCCACCTAGTAAAAGAAGTCCGAGTTCTCCCCTGGGCACAGGAGATGAGACGGCTTTCTAGGATTCTGAAAGGACATCCATGCTACAGTGACATTTTCACACCAACCAGCAGCAGCCCTGAGCACTCTGGTGATCACATGACACTATAAACTGTCTCCCTGTGTGGGCCTCCTGCTGCTGAGAATACAGGTGTGCGCCACCATGCCCAGCCTACAATTGCTGTTTAGTGACAAAACCTTGGAACTGCATTTTCTAGACTGTATCCTCGTTGTTTTAAAAAATGATTGTATTACTGTATTAATAATTATGTGTGTGTCAATGTGGCGGTACCCAGAAGAAGGGCATTGGATCCCCTAGAACTGGAATTCCAGGAGGTTATAAGCTGCCCGACATCAGTGCTGGGAACTGAACTCAGATCCTCCACCAGAGCGGCAAATGCTCCTAAACTCTGAGTATCTCTGTGTCCCCTGTGACGGAATGCATGCCTAGTGCTTAGGTCACATGAGTCACATGCAGTCAGAGGGAGAGTGGTGCTAGCTCATCCCTCTGTGACCTGCCGAAGAGTCAGCTCAACCACTCGGGCTAGGGCTATTTGAACATTTGACTTGAAAACAGCAATTTAAGAATAAATATGGCAGCCACAGACCTTCCCCTTCATCTCAGCTGTCTCCCATAGCTTACCTGCTGCCTCACAGCATGTATTAAATACACATCCTCCAGACCTTTACAGAATGGATGCACATGCTCTTCTGCACCTCAGCCTCTAACTCAGTAGGACTTTTGTGCTTGTGTTTTATTGTTTTGAGACAGGTCCCAGGCTCACCTGAAACTCAGTCCTGTTTCAGCTCTTTCCAGTGCTGGCGTTCCATGCGAGCACTACCTTGTCCGGCCTAACTGTGTGTGTGTGTGTGTGTGTGTGTGTGTGTGTGTGTGTGTGTGTGT